AATATATCAAGTGTATATTCACTAAATAATACATTTTAGTTATCACTTCTACAATACATTTATTTACGAATTCTATGTTTGTTTTCCAAATTGAGATACCTTGCACTGAAAACTACTTTAAATAATTGTATTATTCAAGAATGTGTTCTAGTACAGAAATTCACAATACATTAGAATTTGATTTTACGCTTATTGAAATATGTAGATTGTTAACTTATTTTTCAAATTCTTTGTTATATAATATAATTGTGCTGTTAATATGTAACCTTCTAGAAAGTTTGTCTATTTGTTATTTTTAATCTAAATCTCGTATGACAACATATTTGTGTTATGGGTGTAAATTCACACCTACATGTAAAATATACAATGAGACAATCTTATACTGTATCAAGTACAGTTAACCAATCAGATTTGTGTTATGGGTGTAAATTCACACCTACATGTAAAATATACAATTCTGATTGGTTAACTGTACTTGATACACTATAAGATTGTCTTATTGTATATTTTACATGTAGGTGTGAATTTACACCCATAACACAAATCTGATTGGTTAACTGTACTTGATACACTATGAGATTGTCTCATTGTATATTTTACATCTAGGTGTGAATTTACACTCATAACACAAATCTGATTGGTTAACTGTACTTGACACACTATAAGATTGTCTCATTGTATATTTTACATGTAGGTGTGAATTTACACCCATAACACAAGACAACCTATTTCACTGTACTAGAACTAGTGACAACCTATTTCACTGTACCATAACTAACATGATGTATATTGAAGATATTCTACTGTTTATTAACAAACCTTGGTCCCCCCCCCCCCCAAAAAAAACCGGGAGTACATTACCAAACTAAACATCATAGTGACAACACCCACCAGAAAAACAACAACAAAGGGTCGGCATTGCCACAGGAAACATCATAATACAAAAGAAACAGTGACCTAAGAAAGGCCACGAAAGCCTTCTCCACTTAAAGACACGAAGTTACAGGCAATACACGAGTAATTCCAGGCTTCAGAATTAAATAAAGATTTTACTGCAGTATGAAAAACAAGACTTAATAGCTTAAATAATGTGTTTAAACAACTTTTATTTCTCTTACAACCTCCATGATTGAATAAACGTTTGAGATATTTTTAAACCAAATTACATACATTCTTTTAATTCTTTGTACACATGAATACTAGTGATTGTATCTGGATGAAAATCTTTTGAAGTGACACGAAGTTACCTTTAACTACAAACCTTCAGTTATATTATGAAGTTTTGAAAAGTAAACAATGTTTATTAAATTCACCACAATGAATATATAAGATATATCCAAAGTTCTTTAACAAAGAAATAATTTCACATCTTACAAATATATTCATACATGACAAACAGTATGACATCCGTTACTTGTGACATTATGCATGTCTGTACAATGAGGATTATTGTTTACAATTACAAGTATTGTATATGACACAATGTACAGTTTTTAATATACTGTAAAAATCGGCTTAATCTAATTAAAACAATGTGTAGTACTAGCCACTTTAACACCACATGTGAATATAATGTCAAAAATGGTGGCGTTTCACACTTCTTTTTGCCAAAAGTTCTCGCTTCTCTGAGAGGGCTCCAAAACTTTCAATATATTTTTTCAGGCATCTGGAAAAATCCAGGAAAAATATTTCAATATAAGTATGCTACTTATACAGTGGATACAGGATATCCCAATAGTTTGTTGCCATTATAACACTGATTTTCTTAGATCTTTGCAGATGTTTTAGATAACAGCACTGATGGACGTGTACATCTGATGTGGACCGTCTTCAGTGTTACATAAATTTTAAGAGTGGACATTTTGAGTATATTCTAACTTAGCCTATGGCAACCAACTTTTGGGAATCTTGTACTCTGATTTCAGCATAGAAATTGTAGAAACCAGAAGTAACTACAATAATATTCCATATTTTTATTTAAAATTGTTAATATGTTTTTAAAAAATCAACCTTCATGTAAAATATACCAATGACACAATCTTACAGTCTGTCAGACTTGTGCTATGGATATAATTCATGCCTACATGTAAAATATATCAAGGAGACAGTCTGTCAGACACTAGTTCTAGTACAGTGAAATAGGTTGTCACTAGTTCGTGGTACAGTGAAATAGGTTGTCGCTAGTCGTGGTACAGTGAAATAGGTTGTCACTAGTTCTGTACAGTGAAATAGGTTGTCGCTAGTC